AGAGAGAGAGAGAAACATTGATGAGGGAGAACATCGATTAGCCACCTCCTACATGCCCCCCACTGGGGATCAGGCCCACAACCTGGGCATGTGCCCTGACCAGGAATTGAACCGGTGACCTCTTGGTGCATGGGTCGATGCTCAACCACTGAGCCACACCAACCGGACTTTTTTTTCATTTTGAGACAAAATTTATATATGTACAAACCTTAAGCGTACCAGTCTGAGTTTAGAGTCAACTTTTATGAAGATGGAGAACATTACTATCACTCTAGAAATTCCCTCTTGCCTGTTCCCAGCCAATCCCTCTTCCATCTCTTAGAACCATCTCTTAGGATATTCTTGTGCGAGGCTTTTTGTGGGTCTGTGTTCTCCTTTCTCTTGAATAAACACCTCGAAGGGGGAAAGGGTAGGTGTATGTTTAGTTTTATAAAAAAGCCTCCCAACATTTTTCCAAAGTGAGTTTACATTCCCACCAACAATGTGAGATTCTGGAAGTTCCACATTCTTGGTGACATTTAGATTGTCAGACTTTAATTTTAGCCACTGTGGTGGGTGTATGGGTATCTCATTGTGGCTCTCATTTTCATGATAACTAACGATGTTGAACACTTTGCATGTGGTTATGGGCCATTCGAATGTCTTCTGTGAAGTATCTTTTCAAATATTTGGCCCATTTTTCAATTGGGTTGTTTTCTTTCTTTATTATTTAGTTTTAGTCATTCTTAATATATTTTAGATACGAGTCCTTTGCCAGATATATGTCTTGCAAATATTTTCTTCTGGTCAGTGATTTGTCTGTTTATCTTAATTTCTTAAGTGTCTTTTATGAGCAGATGTTTTAAATTAGCTGACATCTAACTTATCATTTTTTTTCTTTTGAGTTTGTGGCTTTCTGTGATCCTCTGAAAGAATGAATTTTTCTTTGTTCATTTCCAAGGTTGTCTTATATTTTCTTCTAAAAGCTTTGTGATTTAAGCTTTTATGTTGGTCTGTGATCCATCTTGTGTTACTGTTCACGTGTGGTGTGGAGTAGGGGTTGCATTTTTTTGTTTTTGTTTCGTTTTGTTTTTTACATTCATTTTCAGTCATTTGAGTACCAGTTGTTGGTAAGACTTTCTCCGTTGGATTTCTTTTGTGACTTTGTCAAGAATGAAGTGATGGTAGAGGTGTGGGCACATTTACTCTGAGCTCTGTTTTCTGTCCCTTATTTTCTCTGCCTGTGCCTCTGCTGTGCACCGGACGGTGTTGGTAACTGTAGCTTTATGGTAAATCGTGAAGTCAGTGTAAAGTCTTTCAATTTGTTGTTCTTTTCCAAATCGCTTTGGCTGCATTAACGTCCTTTGCAGTTCCACATACATTTCAGAACCGGTTTTCTAGTTTCAAAACATATTATGATTCGGGGATAATTGACATCTGAACAATATGAAGACCTCTGATCTGTGAACATGGTAATAATTTCCACTTAGGAGGTTTTCTCAACAATGTACGTTAGTTTTCAGTAGAGAGAGGTCTTACATGTCTTTTGTTAAAATCATTCCTAGGTGCCTTTTTTTTGGTCTATTTTTGGTACTCTTGTAGGTGGAATTTCATTTTTAAAAATTTTCCTAAATTTTTGTAGATATATAAAGATCAATTGTTTTATAATCTATTAACTTTGTATCCTCTGACTATGAGAAATTCACTTATTAGTCCTAGCAGTTGTTTTGTATATTCTTTCGAGTTTTTGAAGTCGTCTGCAGATAGAGATGTCTTCCATTCTAAGCTCCCTGTCTTTTCTTTCTTTCCATCCCTGTATTGCCGTGACTAGGACCTCCAGGACAGTGACTGTAAGTGGTAAGAGTGGGAATCCTTCCTTCCTCCCGATTTTAGGGGGGATACAGTCAATAATTCAGTATTAAATATGATAGTAGATGTAGGTTTTCATAAATGACCCTTATCAGATTGAGAAGGTCCTCTTCTATTGTTCATTTGCTCAGCATTTTTTATTATGGAATGAGAGTTGAAATTTGTTGAAGGACTTTTTTTTTTGCCTATTGTAATAATCATATGGTTCTCTTCCTGTCTGTTAATATGGTGAATTCAGTAGATATTTTTAAAATATTTTTTTATTGATTTTTTTTTAGAGGGAGAAAGAGAGAGAAACATTGATGTCAGAGAGAAACATGGATCAGCTGCCTCCTACACGCCCCCTACTGGGGATCGAGCCCGAAACCTGGGCATGTGCCCTGACCCGGAATCTAACCGACCTCTCAGTGCATGGGACGACGCTCAGTTCATGGGACTGAGCCACGCCAGCTGGGCTTCAGTTGATTTTTAAATATTAAACCAACCTTGCATTTTGGGATAAACCACAGTCGGTGATGGCGCATTATCATTTTAACATATTGGTAAATACTATACACTGAAGTTTTTGAATCTATATTTGTAAGGACTATTAGTCTGTAATTGTTTTTTTTCTTTTGCATTTGTCAGGTTCTGCTGTTTGGGTAAAACTGGCCTCATATATTAAGTCAGAAAGGGTCATGAGAATGTTTTGTATAAAATGAGACTCAGAAACAAAAAGGAAGTCCCTCATTGACCCGTGAGCTGCAAATCAATTAATAGTATTTTGCCTCCCTGAACTGCGAGCTCGTGCATCCTGGAGTTTGTCACGGGCGCTGAGATAATGGTGAGGAGATGGTGCTTTGGCAGCGTATGTATCAGTGAGAACAGTCAGCTGAAAGGGAGGCTGAGCGTCACATCGATTGCTAAATGGGGTTCACTTGAGCAACTGGTTTGGACATAAAATGGTACATCCTATTCCCAGTTTGTACAAAGCTTTTGCTTTTCTTTCTTGGTACCATCAAGAAGGAAATAACTAATTAGTAGTTTATGCCGTTTTGACAGCTGCAAAAAGGAAGCACACACTAGGCGGGTTTCAGTTTTACCGACATGTAATTGACATACAGCACTCCCTAAGTTTAAGGTGTTCAGCATAATGACTTGACTTAGATACATTGTGAAAGGATTACTAGGTTAGTTAACATCCATCACCTCGGACAGATGATGAAGAAGAAAAGGTTTTTTTCCCTGTGAAGACAACTCAGCACCTTTTTTGTTTTGAGAGATAAACATCGATCTGTTGCCTTTTGTAGGGGACCGAACCCCGCAGCCCAGACATGTGTCCTGACCAGGAATTGAACTGGCAACCTTTTAGTGCACAGGACTACGCTCAACCCACTGAGCCACTGCAGCCAGCCTTTCTTAGCATCTTTTAAAAATACCACAGAGAAGTGTTAACTGTAGTCATTACGTTGCGGATTAGGTTCCCATGGTTTATTCAGCTTATAACTGGAAGTTTGAACCTCTTGACCGCCTTTATCCAATACCCTAACCCCTTTTCCAGCCTCTGGTCATCACGAGTCTGATATTTTTTTTCCTTTGAGTTTTATTTATTTATTCATTTATATATTTCTAGATTCCACATATAAGTGAGATCATACAGTATTTGTCTTCTTCAGACTTACTCCAGTTAGCCTGATGCCCTTGAGGTCCATTCATGTTGTCACAGATGGCAGGATTTCCTGGTTTTGTATGGCTGAGTAGTATTTTTTGTGTGTGTACATACAAACACCTTCTTTATCCATTTGTTTGTTGACAGAACTCTTAGGCTGTTTCTATATCTTGGCTATTGTAAATAATACCGCAGTGAACATACAGGGTGTATGTATCTTTTTGAGTTAGTGTTTTCACTTTCTTCAGATAAATACCCAGAGTAGAATTGCTGGGTCAGAAGGTAGTTCTCCTCTTCATACTATTTCCCACAGTGGCTGCACCAGTCTCGTTCCCACCAACAGTGCTTGAGGGTCCTCATTTCTCCACAGCCTCGCCCATACTTGTTGTTTGTTGACTTATTGATGTTAGCCGTTCTGACAGGTGGTATCTCATTGTGGCTTTGATTTGTATTTCCCTTATAATCAATTTCCCACGGACCAGCTTATAATTTGGCTCTGGAAGGTTTTCCATCACTTCCTCTCCCTGTGCAAACACCTGTATTACGGCGTCTGAGCTTCGTTTCCCTTGTCCACTCATCTTTGAACTTGACCCATTGGGCTTGGCTCTGCCGGCCCCTGCCCTCCCGGCCTTGCCTCCAGCAGGCTCTCTCTGCAGGCCACCTGGCCAGCACAGCAGTGGACTGCCCTGGTGTCTGACAGCAGGAGGCTTGGGCAGAAGGCGACATAGGTTTCGTGAGAGTCCAGAGACCTGTGGTTTTTAACCCTATTGAAATTCCATCCAAAGTACTAGCCCGGTTTTTCTCATCTGCAGCCCCAAACACTCACGAATCCCACGTTTGGTAGGTGGTAAGTTAAGTGGTAATTGAGGTTTGTGAATTTTTGTGTAATTTATTCTGGTTTTCTTCCAATGGCCTGTGAACAGAACTTAAATACCACTTCGCTGTAGTTGCTTCTTCCTGTTTAAAGAGCCTAGCATAATATTTTGTCTTCTGGGCTCAAATAACCACGTAATTACTCTGTAATCATATAGTAATTAGCATATACTATACGCATTTATTACATAATTATATTCCTGGCGGATTGCATGGCAATTATACTTACAGTCAGCATATCATTTTATATACTGTATAATGAACAAGTATATAATTTGTTGCTTTTTTCTTTTATCCTGATTTCAGTTTACCGACCAGGAGTTGGAAACTTCTCCTCCTGTTGCCTTGTTTACATGCAGTCGGGCAGGTGCCCGGGCTCCTTTGGCCTCGCTCAGTACCTCCTAAGTGTACATCGAAGAGAGTGCTGGGAGCTAGTGTTCTCCCGTGGGATCCCAGCACCTGCACTCTTACTATTTGCTCCTTGTCCTGAACTCATTAAGTTATTAGCTTTAAAACAGAGTTGATCAGAGCTCCCAGCGCTGCTAGGTAGACGCAAGGTCTGGATGAGAGCAGGAGGCGCCCGCAGCCCAGGCGCCCGCACGTGACACGTCTGCCTTTCTCTCCTTGGCAGTGGAGCACATCCCCAAAGGGAACAACTGCCTGGACGCCGCCAAGGCCTGCAACCTGGACGACACGTGCAAGAAGTACAGGTCCGCGTACATCACCCCGTGTACCACCAGCATGTCCAACGAGGTCTGCAACCGGCGCAAATGCCACAAGGCCCTGCGGCAGTTCTTCGACAAGGTGCCGGCCAAGCACAGCTACGGAATGCTGTTCTGCTCCTGCCGGGACATCGCCTGCACCGAGCGGCGGCGCCAGACCATCGTGCCCGTGTGCTCCTACGAGGAGAGGGAGAAGCCCAACTGCCTGAGTTTGCAGGACTCCTGCAAGACAAATTACATCTGCAGGTAAGTGCGCCGGTGGCCCGGCGATGACGGAGGTGGTGGGAGGACCTTTGCGGCCGCCTCTGTGGCCGAGCTCCCGGGAGGGGCGGGCAGTCGTTGGAAGGACTGGCCAGGAACCGACCTCTGCATGGGACACATGGTTTTTCAGAAGCGGGTCAGGCTCTCGTGCTGGGGAGGGCTCCCAGCTTAACCCAGGGAGAGCTTTGAGAGGTGCTGCAATGCGGTAAATACCACTGCGCTTAGCCAGCAGGGAGGGGCACCTGTGGCCAGGTGAGCTTGACCGCACCTGCTCACTCCACCAGCCCGAGATGCTGCCAGGAGTCACAGGGAGTAAGTCAGTCAAGGGAGGGGTGGGCTGGACATAGGCCGGCCCTTGGCCATCAAGGTCAGAACACAGGAGGAGACCAGAGAGGGACTGAGCTGCGTCTGAGCCCTGAAGAGACCTTCTAGCATCCCTGGGTTTGTTCTGGGCCAGTCAGTCATCAATGTGGTCAGGGGGAGTGGTCACCTTCCTGCTCACCATGCTTCCAGATGTCAGCCTCCGTCAGACACCCTGCTGACCTGGGCCCTGCTATTAAAAAAAAAAAAAAGTATGTTTTTATTGATTTTTTAGAGAGAGAGAGGAAGGGAAAGAGAGAGAAACATTGATGTGAGAGGGAAACGTCGATTGGCTGCCTCCTGCACACCCCCTACTGGGGATCAAGCCTGTGGCAGGGGCATGTGCCTGTTCGGGAGTCGAACCGGGACCTCTTAGTTCACGGGACAACACTCAATCCACTGAGCCACACAGGCCGGGCATGTGCCTGTTTGGGAGTGGAACCGGGACCTCTTAGTTCACGGGACAACACTCAATCCACTGAGCCACACCGGCCAGGCATGTGCCTGTTTGGGAGTGGAACCGGGACCTCTTATTCCACAGGACAACACTCAATCCACTGAGCCACACAGGCCGGGCATGGGCCCTGTTCTTGAAAACAGCCACTTCCTTTTCCTTTTGGCCACAAGATTTTAATGATTGAAGGAGTCCCTGAACACATTTTCTCTCTTTCTTTTTTAAGCAATATAGAATTAGGTAGAGGGAAAATGAAGGCCTCTCTTCACACTGCCCTCACTTGTCCCCACCTGTCACTACCAACAATTTGATGTGTCTCCTTCCAGAGTTTAAGACTGAATTCAGTTGCTGATCGAAGCAAGCAGGTTTTGATGAGCGGAGAGTTAAGTCTTTGCAGCCTCAGGCGATGCTGGCGCCACGTTCAGACATGAAGGCTGGATCCAGGGCTGGAGGTTCAGAGACATCATGTTGACCATACCTGTGCTTTGTCCCCCGGGTAGAGCCAGGAACCTTCAAACACCGTCTCTGACAAAACCCTATGCACCCAGTACATGTCCACGGCGGACAGGGAGATGAGGGCGTGTTATGTGCTTGGTTTCTTAGAGATGCCCCATGTCTAAAAAGGAAGGAAGAAAAGTCTGATATTTTAAGGATGCTGGTGAGCTGAGTTTCTGGCCAATTTAAGTTTTATTTTGGTAGAATGAGATCCCTGTCTTTCCTCAAACTAGCTCTAAGAGTGACCAAAGGAAAAAAGTGGAACCCTCTCATGCTGAAGATTTTCTGAGAGTAATGTCCTTCCGTCTTCTTCTTTTTTTTTTTTTTTTAAGTTGGAAGCAGGTGAGCTGCTATGTGAGGAAGAGCACAGGTGACCAAGTGGGTCTTGGGGAGGAGTCGGGTGTTCCCACAGGGCAGCTTCTCCAAGGTCTCTTCGTTCCATTGAGACCCTCTTAGCTGCAGACTAGGATCGGGGATGTCCGTGCTGGAAGGGTCCTGGGAAGAGCAAGCGCCCTTCTGGCCTGGGGGCGCCAATCAACCAGGGAGTCACGGACCCCCCTGCAGGGCACAGGGGAGTACATGGAGGAGCATTGCTCAGGGTGCAGGATGTCGGGGAGCAGAGACTCTGCAAACCTCTGGATCTGAAATCCAAATTCCTGGGTCAAGTTCAGTCTTTGAACAGAAGGGATCCCGCTTCTAAGAGCAGGACTGGGTTTCCAGGGTCTTCCTTGGCTTGAAGCCAGACAACTGTAGGTCTCCCTGTCTCTGCAGTAAAAGGTACCCTGTTTGCTGAAGGGTCCGAGCCAGGAAGTAGCTGTACAGGGAGCAGTGGGTGAGCCTTTTGCCCACGGGGCAATGATGGGAGGTGGGGGAGGGTGGGAGGGGGTGGGGGTGGAGCCTTCTCTTCTGATGAGGTTCACCTGGCACATGAGGTCCAGAGGAGGCCCTGACCCTCCCCCCCCCCAGGCGGAAAGCCCACCCTGAGTGGCCCATTTGCAGTACCTGGCTTGCTCTTCTGAAGAGAGAGAATCCTTTCAGGGTTGATGTGAATTAGTCAAGTCAGATTGCTTTCCTGATAAACTAGTCAGAAATAGCGGGGAGTTGGGGAATTTGAGGTGCTGTGGGGAGGAGCAAGAGGAGCCTGAAGATAACAGGATGACTTGGGTGCTGTCCGGGGTCTCAGGCTGACCTGGTAGGAAGGTCCCAGGAACCGTTTGTGTTGAGACAGCCCCAGTTGTATAGTGGCCTCGGCTGGTGAGGCAGAAGTGGACAAGGGGCAGCCCTGGCCAGACAGCTGAGTTGTGCCTGGTCGCACCGCGGCAGGGATGTGACGAGGGCCACCACGCAGAGGGGTGAAGGTCAGCTGGAGGTGGTCCTTGTGCCGCTGCCTCATTTCTGGCTCTAGGAAGAACTCAGAAGCTGTTTGGGAATCCAGACCCTAGATTGTCCAGGGACTCTACCAAGTGAAATTAGCCCTGGTGTGATTGATGGGTTTTACACCCTGTCTGGAGTCTTCCCTGGGAAGGTGAATCAGTGACTTCCCCTGGTGTTACCTGTCATCATTTAGCCCATAATTTCTTTCCAGAGCCCGGGCTTATTACTCATGACTACCCCCTCCCTGTAAATTGTGGTAAATGTAATTTAAGCTGTTGGGTAATGTAGCAGTGTTTTCTTTGATTAGATTTTATTAATCTTGTCTTTAATTTTATGCCTTTTATTCCCCTCACCCCCAATCCATCTCCATGAGACCCTTGCTACTACCCAGAGCAGCGGCTGGGACTGAAGCTGGGGCTTCTGTGGGGTTTTACCTCCCAGCACTCTGACCCGTCCCCATCCCCCATCCGCAGGGAGGGCGTGTGGCTGATGGGATGACTCAGGTTTTATTTGAATATCCCCAAAGCAGGAGGGATGGCAAGAGGGAAAATCACTTCCTAAACACCATAGTCTTCGAAAGCTCCCACTTTCAGAGGCTGCATTTCCGTCTCAACGTGAGTGACTATCGAAGGGCTGCTCCAGCTCATTAAGGCTCCCTGCACTTGATGCCCCCCAGCTACCAGCGAGGGAGCCCTGCCCCGGGGTCCAGCCTGCCTCCGGGTCCAGCCTGCCTCCGCGCAGGACCTGTCTCTCCGCCCGGTGCCTTCAAACAGAGGAGAAGCAACTTTAGCTTTCCCTTTCGACTTGCTTTTCTTTCTTCCGTTCCCTTCTCGGGCAGCTGACAGGTTCCATTCCTCCCGGGCGGTTGAGGAGGGTGAGGGTTTGACGGGTTTGGCCTCAGAGCCCATCTAGAGAAAAGCAGACGCACAGGTATTGTTAGAAGGGTGTGATGAAACGTGAAAGCCTCTCATTCTCCCCCTGAAGCGCCCCGTCTCTCTCGCCGCTTTCTTCTGGTTGCTTTCTTAGTGCCTGGAGAGATGTCAGAACTGAGTTTGGCCATAAAGGAAGCATAAGCCCTTATTCCTGAGACTTGTTATATAGATACGTAACCTAAACACGTGCCTTACCTCGTTTTCCCCAAACTCTAATGTCCAGAATAAGCTCAGCACTGGGCTTGGGGTGCTGCAGATATGCTCATCTCTCTTTTATTGTTCCAATTAATCACCCAGACACCTCAGCTGTTTTTATTTTATTTTTTTAATCCTCACCTGGGGTTATGTTTTACTGATTTTTAGACAGAAAGGAAGAGGGAGAGAGATGCAGAGAGAAACATCGATGTGAGAGAGAAACATCAATCAGTTGCCTCCCATATGTGCCATAAACCAGGCATCGAACTTGCAGTCTAGGTATGTGCCCTGACTGGGAATCGAACTCGAAACCTTTTGGTGCTCAGACGATGTTCCAACCAGCTGAGCCACTGGCCAGGTCTCTGCTGTTTTTCATTACCAAGATGTCTAGCATCTTCCTCTTGAAGAGGTCCCTCCTAGTTTTCATCGGAGAATTACAGTGTTATATTCCCAAACCCAGCGATGGTGCTTCCAGTGCCAAGCAAGGAGGGAGCCTGAGGCTGCTGACCAGCCCACCTGCCTGTGACTTCAGCTGCTGCCGGACGGTGTCGCTGTTGGAAGCAGCCAAGAGAATGCTTGGTGGTTCAGGGTCTGATCCCTTCTTGGCCCTTCTGCAACATAGGTGCTACATCCTTGGGCTCCAGAGTAACAAGTCTTAGTCCATACTTCATATGTAGCCACCATTTCCCAAAGCACACCATTTCGCCCTGGGGGCTAGATGGTTTCCAGCCAGACACAGCCCTCCAACTTGAACACATTGTATCCCAGGCTCTCCCTTTCCTGGCAGAGCATCTAGATGGAATTGAATAGTGTATTTGTTTGCTTGTCCTCCCTCCCTCCCTTCCTCCCTCCCTCCTTTCTTTTGTGGTAAGAACACTTAACATGAGACCTACCCTCTTAACAGATTTTAAGTGCAATACAGTATTCTTGTCTGTCTCTATGGTACTATGTTGGACAGCAGATCTCTAGCACGTATCTTTCAGAACCGAAACTCGAAACCCATTGATCAGCAACTCCCTGCTTCCCTTTCCCCTCAGCCCCTGGCCCCCACAATTCTGTCCTCTGCTGCCATGAGCTTGACAATGTTAGATGCCTCATATAAGTGGAATCATGCAGTATTTCTTCTTCTGTGCCTGGCTTATTTCACTTAGCACAAAGTCTCCAGGTGCATCCAC